CGTGTGTGTGTGAGTGTGTGTGTGTGTGTGAGTGTGTCTGTGAGTGTGTGCGTGTGTGTGTGTGTGAGTGTGTGTGTGTGTGTGTATGGCTCATTGATCAGTGAGTGACAACAGCACAGTTCATTTACAGGTGGTGTGTGTGTGTGTATATGCTTCTGGTACATATACATCTATTGGCATGTATGCATAAAGGGTCATCTCATTCTAGACACACAGTTCTCTTAAAAAGCATTGGTATACAATATTTTTCTTATGTACAATCATTGGAAAGAGGAAATGAAAAAATCACCATTTCTCGCAGAGAAGATTAGTAAAACGTGACGAAGTCACCATAAAAGAGTAAGCAACTCCTAGGAGTTAGTCTTTCAAATTTCCACTAAATTTCTAGTTTTTATACAGGCACGAAGCCTTGATTTACTGAAGAGATACAGTATTACTTTAAGTGCCCTATCTACAACAGTTAAGCATGGTTTTACTACTGTGTACCGTACAACACAATCTCCTGTTTTTAAGTCTGTTGTAGCTTCTCTCGCATAAAAACATATGGTAACTAAAGTACGAAATCAAAATATCCAGAGTCTTGTCGTTGGTAATGACAGTTAACATCCCAAGACTAGTGTTGAATTATATAGGTATCGTGTTTAAGGTAAATAAAAGTGAAACAGTCAGTGATCAGTAGTGAAACACTTAAACAGGTGAGGCACGGGTCACGCTCGCCTTCTCTTAAAGGGATCGGTTGAGATCTTGTTGGCGTCGCAGGTCTTCATATTAGTTGACTGCAGTGAAGCTGCGAGCAGAAGATGCTCCGCTCTGTTGACTTCATTCAGTCTTCATTTACTCAGGCTCACATTGCAGCAAGTGCATTATTAGTGCAAGAAACGCTTTAGTTTGGGGTGAGAGTCTGCACGTAGGGTTGGGCGATTTTTCGGTTTCATCGATTCATTTGAAAGTAATGTTTTGCCAGGTTTGAATAAAAATATTAGCAAATGTTACAATTAGACACGCTGACAATCCGCCAGTGCTAACAGCTGATAAAGCGCGTGACGTGCTCTTTGAAGGAGTGTAACACATTGCAAATATTCACACAGAATTTGTTTCTGCGCTGAAAACACGAGGCGCTGCAGTGGAACAGGAAAAACACAAGGTTAAGAGACGCGAGTTGAGCTGCTTTTAACTCGAGCACCACATTCTTAGAATGCCATTTCATGTGCGTAATGCTGCAAAAGACGCGAGCGCAATGGTCAAAGCACAGGTTTACATATAAAAACACTGGAAAAGCAGAAACCTGTGCAGAACTACTGCTGTATGTCTGATATTTGATTTTTGCACGTTGCTGACAGACTGAAAGCTATAATCGCATGCTAATGCTGTTATACTTTGAGTCATTTTGATTTGAATCGCCTTGACTTTTTGAGTTGACTTCTAAAACGTGTGGTACACTTGAAAAAGAGCTTTCTTTAAATGCATGGTTTTGCAAGTTTGTAAGAAAGTGAATGTTACTTGAATCCTGTAGTTATGTTTTTAAGTTGACTAGTTAAAATCGACATTGCTATCAAGATTTATCTTTTTGCTGCATCGCCCAGCCCTACGTTGAAGAGCTATGGACAAGATCAGGCTGAGTAGATGACGACAGAATGCAGCGCCTGCTTCAGAGCGGCGTGTCGTAGCAGTCCGCAGGTCGCTCGCTCTTGTCCTGCTGATGTTGTTTCATGATCTCCTTCACCTCCTCCTCCAGCTCCGGAGGGATGATGAATTGGTCGTCGGGGTCAGGCTGAGCCGACGCCGTGAAGTAACCCCCAGGTTTCTTTGAAGGTGCTTCAGCCGCCACCTCAATCAGGTTGTGGCTCTGCTCCTGCGGCGCCACCGAGCCGTTTCCCCTTCGCTTCCCCAAGGTCTTGCTCCAAGTGTCAGCTCCCGCGAGATTCCCGGCCTCCTCCGGAAGCTTCTCCGGGGTGCAGGGTGGAGGAGGTGGAGGCAGCAGACAGTGGACATCGGCTTCCACTTCCACCCGACTGCCGTTGGAGAAGACGCCGGCGATGGGCTCCTCGTCCTCGCTGTCCAAGCCGTTGTCTGAGAGCGCGCTGGAGAAGGTGGCGCTGGAAAGCTGCCTCTGGAAGGAGCTTCCGGAGTTGGGAGCAAGGTGGAGCGAGCAGCAGGGGAGGCGCGGGTTCAGCTGCAGCTGCGGCAGATGAAGGTGGAGCTGCGCCTCCTGCAGCAGGAGCTGCGGCTCGTCTGAGGACGCGGTGGATCCCACTTCGGAGCTCATCTCGGAAGCACTGACCTCAGAGCTGATCTCGCTGCAGGAGGCCGGGTACAGGCTGGGGCTCGGCGGGGGCTGCGGCGGTGCATGCATGCTTCCGGAGCCAGGCTCAGCGGACGCCGCGCAGCAGCAACAACAACAGTCTTCAGCCACATTGAGCTGCACCACCACGGCGCTGAGGCTATCGGTGCAGCCATATGATTGTGCAAGCGTGCACAGCTTCTTAGCGGCCGCCAGCGCGTCGGGAACCTTCCGTACGGCTTCCACCGCCTCGCTGGGGTCCAAGACTTCAAACAGACCTCTGCTGCCCAGGATGAAGAACTCGTCTCTGGGGGTCAGCGGGAGCGTGGTGACGTACGGACACGGTAAGACTGCTGGGTAGAGGAACGAATAGCCCATGATGCGTGTGGAGTCTGTTACGCCGTTCACTTTGTTGTCCTGTTGGAGAAGGGGAAATCGCCACAGTGGCGTACACAGTGCTCAGTGTAGTTATTCTAATAATAATAAAGCAATAAGCCCCGTGAAGCCGTGGTTTACAGTGAATTTATAACAGCTAAGGGGTGTTGTTAGGTACGACGCCCCTTAGCTGTTATAAATTCACTGTAAACCACGGCTTCACGGGGTTTATAGCTTTTATAAAACGGTTATTCCATATACGTAGTAAGGTTTCACAAAATAAAACAGAGCAAATAAAGTGTAATGATATTAATAAAAACAGTATTCTTCCACCAAACAATGTAGCTCCTCAGAAACAGTTGTGGTTGCAACAAAGTGGTTGCCGAGCAACAGACAAACGTAAACAAAGGTGTGTGTTACTTTGTAGAGTAATTTACAACAGCTTCGAACGCGGCTCAGCCAATCAGAATCAAGCACCGGAACTATCCGCTTTATAATCGTTATTCTAATACAACAACAACATTCAAAGACTAGGATGATGTGAGTTAAAGGGACGGTTCAGCCTCAAACCTGCATGACTTCTGTGAAAGAAGATATGTAAAGAATCGTTCAGCTGTAAACAAACAGTCACCGAGGTCAAACAGTGTCAAACTCCAAGAAGAACATACTGTGCTAAAAAAAAAAATCAGTCTAGGATTTTTTTGTAAATTTCACGATTATAAGGAAACGGCAAGTTACACGTTGAATTAAACAAGAAATTTTCAAGCACAAAAACTGAAATAGTATTTTCTTGTAGAACCTACCCCAATAATCTTTGTTTTATTTACAACAAATCTTTTTTTATAGTGTATAAAAGTGGTTTTGCTTCAGGTCTTGGTTTGAAGTCGAAATTTGAGTTGTTGTTTATTATTATTCACTTGTTTGAGATGCTCGAGAGTGAATAACTTAAATTTCACTCTGTTCAGTGTACAAAGTGATCGTGTTACTTCAGAAGACTCGTTTATGTCCTTTTAGGAGCCTGAAACTGTTGGACCCCATTAACTACTGAGCTGAAAGATTCTTCAATTATCTTTTGTTTCTCATGAATTTAAATTTTTTTGGTGAACTAACCCTTTAACTTCTATAAAAGATAGGGAATAGATAAGCAGAATCCACCTGAAAGTCAACATGAAATGCCATTTTACTTCCTTAATGTGACTCTCTTCTTTTCTTCTTGTGATGATGTAAACTGGACGTTTTATATCAGAATATCTGAATGCGAGCCTCCACGTACTCCAATGCTAATGTTGTTTTCCAACACCATTTGGAAATGTTGTTTTCTTTATTCACCGCCCGGAGCCGTGTGGGACACTTTTTATTACGGATGGATGGGCTTTATTGGACTTCTTTTGGACTGTTGAAAAATAACACCCATTCACTGCCATTATAAAGCTTGGAAGAGCCAGGACATTAAAATTTTGGGCTACCATCCACTCCCATTATAAAGTTTTGAAGAGCCAGGATGTTTTTTAATATAACTCAGATTGGATTCGTCTGAAAGAAGAAAGTCATGCACACCTAGGATGGCTTGAGGGTGAGTAAATCATGGGGTCATTTTCATTTTTGGGTGAACTATCCCTTTAAAGTAATTACATTTTGATTCAAGAGACAGTTTTGTTTTTTTATAACGTGCACAGATGAATAGTCCGCAATAAGTCAATCTCACGTTGACTTCAGTGCCGGTGGACAGCGTTGCTGGTACCTCAGTGATGATGGCTTTATGCTGCTGCACGCGGTTGTGTTCCTCTCTGATGCTGATGTTGTGCAGCAGTGACAGCGGAAGCGCCTTGCCGTCGCGGCACAGCACCGCCTGACACTTGCCCACGTTAGCAGCGGTGAGGGTGAAGCAGCCGGCGGGGTCAGTGGGGTCGTGCCGGATGTGACAGAGCGCCGCAGAACCGCCCAGCTTCTGCCCTGCTGTGCCCAACTTCCTGTTCAACCCAGAGCGAACGGACAGACGCATTTATTAGGGCCGTCAAGTGATTAACATTTTTAATTGAATTAATTACATGTGCCAATTAACCGAAGTAAACGCAATTAACCGCATATCAAATTTGGCTGAGAAATTAATTCATTATTGTGTTAGATGAGAAAAGCATTGAGTAGATATTATTACAAAATAATAGCTTTAGAAAGAAATATTTTGATCCAACATTGCATAGATAATAAATAGGATTTTTAAAAAGTGAATATTGAAATGATCCTTTAAATATGAAACTAAAGCCCCAGTAGGTGGCGGCGAGTCACCGTCTTAATGAGCGAGCCATTGAATCATTCGTTTAAACAGCTGATTCATTCAGAAATGAAGCAAGCGACACTGAATCATTGACTCACTTGGCTTTGTTTGGAACTGTTTGTTTGCAAAATTGAAACAAAATTTTACAATATAGCGTTTAATACAAATTTAATACAATATTAACTTCTAGTTTATTGAACTGTGTATAAATCAATATGACATCTGCAGTGGTGCTGGTGTGATATTGCTAAACTATATCAAATGATAGAAATATACACTACCAGTCGAAAGTTTTTAATGTTTTTTAAAGAAGTCTCTTCTGCTCATCAAGCCTGCATTTATTTGATCAGAAATACAGCAAAAGCAGTAATACTGTGAAATATTATTACAATTTAAAACAGCTGTTTTCTATGTGAATCTCTGTTAAACTGTAATGTATTTCTGTGATGCGCAGCTGTATTTTCAGCATCATTACTCCAGTCTTCAGTGTCACATGTTGTACATTTTTTCAGGATTCTTAGAAAGATCCAAAGATTCTTTTATCTGAAATAAAAGCTTTTGTAACATTATACGCTCTACCATTCAAAAGCTTGGAGTCAGTATCTTTTTTTTTTTTGGGAAAGAAATTATAGAAATTAATACTTTTATTTAGCAAGGATGCTTTAAATTGATCAAAAGTGATGATAAAGACATCTATAATATTACAAAAGATTTCTATTTCAGATAAATGCTGTTCTTCTGAACTGTCTATTCATCAAAGAAACCTGAAAACATTATACTCAGCTGTTTTCAGCATAATAATAATCAGAAATGTTTGTTGAGCAGCAAATCAGCATATTAGAATGATTTCTGAAGATCATGTGACACTGAAGACTGGAGAAATGATGCTGAAAATACAGCTGCGTATCACAGAAATACATTACAGTTTAACAGATATTCACACAGAAAGCAGTTATTTTCAATAGTAAAAATATTTCACAATATTACTGCTTTTGCTGTATTTCTGATTAAATAAATGCAGGCTTGGTGAGCAGAAGAGACTTCTTTAAAAAAAAAAAAAATGTTTTCGACTGGTAGTGTAAGAGGGTGAATTTTTGCCCTAATATCTTGAATTTTATGCTCATCACTGCATTCTAATAGACTCGTCCTGCATCACGTTCATCAGACACGAACTACAGGTCTGGACGGGGCGCTGCATTAAATGCTCTAACATTTAGTATTCCTCAAAACGTCCTTCTTTAGCACTAATTGTGTGTGCATTACCTCTGCATGACGAGGAAGGTGTTGGTCATGTAGTCTTCCTCGCTCTTGGTCCTCTGCAGCTCCTCGGCCAGTATGTCGTTCATGGTGCACTGCAGTAAATACGGCACCTCCACGTTCCTGTCTCCGTCAAACACACCGTACAGAGCCTCTCTGCTGCCGCAGAAGCTGTTCACCGACAGCGCCGCCACACACAGTCTGCAGACACACACACACGGTCACTGACCGACACACACAGTCTGCAGACACACACACACACGCACACGGCCACTCACCCACACGACACACACAGTCTGCAGACACACACACACGCTCACTGACCGACACACACAGTCTGCAGACACATACACACGCTCACTGACCGACACACAGTCTGCAGACACACACACACGTCACTGACCGACACACACTGTCTGCAGACACACACACACACTCACTGACCGACACACACAGCAGCTCCGAGCGCTGAGATGCACAACACACTCACTTGTTTTTGATGCCCGAGGCTTCGGTGTAGCCGTGACTCCAGACAGCCGGCCCTCCTGCCGCCTCATTGGCTGAGAACGAGGAAGGGGGCGGGTCGATCCGGAAACAGCGGATGTTACTGAAAAGATGTGGAAGTGATTATTAAATGGCACACATCTACACAAACATGGTCCAAACAAACACTTCACAAGTCAGTAAAATGGCTTTGGCGAGTAAATAGAACAATGAAAATCAGTGGCTGGTAACTTTTTGAGGTGTATTTAGTGTCAAGCCACTGAAACCGAACCAGCATGATGCTGTGTTTTTATTTCAACTACAACTAAAACAAACATTAATAAAAATTATACAGACAAATAAAATTTAAAAAAATGAAAATGTCCAAAACACAACAAATTTACTAAAACTTTATAATTAAAATGTATTCAAAACGATTCAAAACATTAATAACAAGCTACAAACGTGTCTCAAAGATCCTAAAATAACACTGGGCCAAATGAAGACAATTCAAAGACATTATTATATCAGATTATGTCAAAAGCATTGGACAGATGTTAGAAAAAATGGCTTGACAGTATAACAATTTTTTTTTTTTGCATTTTTATTATTATTTGTGCATAATTTTTGTAATTACACTAAACTAATGTGTTAATATGACAACACAAATTGAAGAAAAAAACCTGACAGAAGTGTGAAACATTACTTGAGCTGCTCGAGGGTCTTGTGGTCCAGATTCAGACGCAGGTTTCCCGTCAGATCCAGCTCTTGGAGTTTATGAGGTAGACTGTCAGGTAAAGTGATCTCACGCAGCTCGTTACAGCTCAGATCCACGCACTACACACACACACACACACACACACACACACACACACACACACACACACACACACACGTTAACGGCACACAGGCTGTGGAGCTCACTGCTTCGAAATCCATAACATCATTTACATAACCGCAGATTAAACATCGCACAGCACAGGACAGTAAACAGTTCTGCTGTACTGAGATACTCAAAAACTGGTGAATTAAAAACAGTTCTGTCGAATTAAATGAAGTAATGTGAAGTAAACTGAAAACAGCGTTCTTCACACAACTTCTGAAGTTCCTCTGTCGGTGTTGAATCGAACATTCTGTGATGGTGTTGATGTAATGTAATGCTTATGTGTGTGTATAGTGTGTGTGTGTGTGTGTGTGTGTGTGTGAGTGTGAG